TCTCCCAAGTCTGCACAGAAATCTAGCCCAAATAGAACTAAACGTGGTTGCCAGCCCCCGGGCGCCTCTGCTACCTCTCCACCTTCACACGCGGCCGCAGACGATGGAGAACGGGGCCTCCTGTGTGGCTTCCTTTCTGGGTCACTCGGTGCACAGGGCGCCGTCCTCTGTGGCTCCCACAACATACTGCCCAGTTGATTCTGACTCTTGTGTGTGTCTTCCTCGGTCTTGCCATAGTTAGACTCTCCTGTTACTTCATTTGTTCTCTGTGCCTCTCTCATTCCTTCAGTCGGTGGAGTAGGTTTGCTGGATGTGGAGCAGGCCTGTATTTTCATAGCAGCCGGCCGCTCTGCGCTCTCCCTGGTGGATCCGAGTTCCTAGAAGGCACCCCTCACGTCTTCTCTGACTTTGAACTCATAGAGCCAGCACATGGCCTGGCGCCAAAGGGTGTTGACGAGATGTTCACAGAATCAGAATATCGAAGAAAGCTTCCCTCTGCCACGCTCCTATCCCTCCAGGGTTCACTCTGTGTCACTTGCCTTTGTAAAGTCAGATTCCCTTTATTAGTCAGTCTCTGTGCTGGCTAATTTCTGGAGAAAAAAAATAAAAAATAAATAAAACCTTCAAATTGGTTTGGGCTGGTGTTCTGGGGAGCTGGGATTAGAGCAAGAAATTTCCCATTTCTCCGGGACGATGCCTCGGTGAGAGGGGCGGGGGGCCTCATCCGGATTCAACCCTCCCCTGGTTGGAAGTCCTGGGCTGTCCAAGACCAGCCTGAAGCACCCCTCTCACGTCTGCATTCCTGTACCTTTGTTTTCCCAGCCAAATCCCAGCCGGCGATTTTTAGAGCATTATTTTTCTAGGGCAATTTATCCAGCATCTCACTACTACGTGCCAATGGGCAGGTGGACATCCAGTTCTGGGTACTGTCCGGGCTTACCTGTGCCTCAGGCTTGTAGAAATGTCTCCTGTGTGATCCCCCACCCCACCCCACTCCATACACCTTTTTAAAAAATGTATAAATCATTTTGAAATTTTGAATGTTTTCTTTCCCACAAATCTTGCTGTGTTTATCCCCATGTGCTGTAAAATGCTTGTTTTAGTGTTTTCTTTCGTATTCAGTTTAATGTTATATTTTATCTATTTGGTTATCATTTCTATCTATTCTAATGTTATTTTCTCACCTATTTCAGCCTTTCTGCACCTTCCCTCTCTGCCCCCTCTCCTGTGTGTTTATTGATGGTGGGGCACTCAGATATTCTTCCTCGTTCTTCTGACCTGCATCACGGGACCCACCATTGGGTACAGATGCCTAGTAGACAAGACTCAGACTTTAGAGTCGGACAGATCTTTGTACAAATTCTATCTCTGGCCTTAGCCGATTTGGCTCAGTGGATAGAGAGTTGGCCTGTAGACTGAAGGGTCCCAGGTTCGATTCCGGTCAAGGGCACATGCCGGGGATGCAAGCTCGATCCCCAGGAGGGGGTGTGCAGGAGGCAGCCAATCAATGATTCTCTCTCATCATTGATGTTTCTCTCTTTCTCTCTGAAATCAGTTTAAAAATATTTTTTTAAAAAAGAGTTCCTCTTAAAAACTGCAAAATTGTATTCCTAGAAAGAGAACATTTAAAAAATAAATATTTAAAACAAATTCTACCTCTGCCTCTTAGTAGCTGTGTGACCAGTCACTCTCAGCCTCGGGGGTGGAATTGGGATGAGAAACACGCTGCACACGGGAGCTGTGCGACTTCATTGCTGGCGGCGCAGTAAATGCCGAAGCCACGCCTACAGGCACGGGGACCATCCGTGCTAAAGTTCTTGCTTGATCCTCATTTTTCAAAATGAACTCTTTTCTATTATAGACAATTTTCAAAATAGCTAGCTACATATAATGGCTTAATTAAATAACTAATTATAATTTAATTCCTCCGACTGAAATAAAGTTACAAGTCAGAGAGGGAACTTCTCTCCCGAGACTGCCTGTGGCGGGGCTGGGCTGGGAATGTCCGCACCAGCGTCGCCTTTGCTGTTGGTGCCTTTGTGCATGGGACCTGCCGTAAAGGTGACAGAGGTGGGACTTGTGTGGCCTGCGGTTGGGGACAGTCTCCCAGGGGGTGCGCACTCCTGCGCTTCCTGCTTCCTCCTGACCACAGTGGCTCCAAGCTCAGGCTGTCTTCCCTTTCCTTTTCTCAAGCGCAGAACGAAAGAAGATAGTTTTAATGATGATGATTTTTAACTTTGGTGGCATGCCCGTCAGTCCTATCGATCTGCTTGTCTGCTCACTGGGCCCAAAACCCCTGTTCCTGCCCTTCAGCCTGTGCTTGATGACGAAATTAGGATTTTTTTGTAGCTTAGCAAGTGGGCTTTTTTAAGATCGGTGGAATCATAACACGCTCACATCTTTATGACGTTAGTGCCAAAGTTGTACATTTTTAACTTTGGTGGCATGCCCGTCAGTCCTATCGATCTGCTTGTCTGCTCACTGGGCCCAAAACCCCTGTTCCTGCCCTTCAGCCTGTGCTTGATGACGAAATTAGGATTTTTTTGTAGCTTAGCAAGTGGGCTTTTTTAAGATCGGTGGAATCATAACACGCTCACATCTTTATGACGTTAGTGCCAAAGTTGTACATTATTCACAAATTCCAAGGCGGGGGGGGGGGGGGGGGACAGGGAGGGAGGGGG